TGCTGTTAACGGCATGTTAATGTTAACGAACATAATGTTAAGCAACTGACTTTCATGGCTATCAACAGCTCACTGCCATGAAACTTGTTTTTGTTCAGTGGTCAGAAAATCGAATTTGAGTTGATTTCAGAACGATGGATAGTAGTGAGAGTGAGTATTAAATTAAATTCACTATAAATCTAACTTTATTCACATCGAAGAGATGACTAATCTAACTCTTGGCCAGGGACAAAGTGCTGGCCATGCTGACGCACTCGCTGGTGCCGGGACCCGTCTCCACGCGCTCCAAGGAGTCCACAGAGCGAGAGAGATCCTGGCCCTCTTCCGGCCGGAGCTCCTGGTTGAGGGCGTGAGTGTTGTAGCAGAGCACGAGACGTGTGTTGAGGCCCTCGAAGATGCTGACCACGCTGGGCTTGAGGTTGAAGAAGATGATCTTCTGCCGGCGCACTCGGAAGTCGTCCACCATGGAGGAGATTACCTTGGCGGCAGTGAAGTCAGCGGCGTAGATGTAGGTGCAGTCGATGACCACCGGCAGGGTGGACTTGCTGCCCAACTTGAGTACCATGTTGCGGACAAACTCCACCGAGGGGAAGATGAGACAGCGATCGGGTGTGATCTTCACGAAGCGTATGCCCTGCTGCGTCTCCAGCTGCTCCAGCGTCACCTTGGGCCGTGCCGCGTAGTACAGGATGAAGAGCAGATTCACGCCAATGGCCACCATGATGCCGATCTCCAGAGGCAGCACCAGGCAGGTGACAAAGGCCAGTATTCCAGGCACTAGATCGGAGCCTGCAGGTGTAAGAGGAATGGGGTCAGATCGCAGGGTGTGGGAGCAGGACTGGGGCTGCACTCACGCTTGCTGCGCCACATGGGCGTGACGACCTGGTACTGCACTTGGAAGATGACCGCGGAAATGATGATGGCAGCCAGCACCGCCTTGGGGATGAATGCAAAGTACTCGGTGAGAAAGTTCAGGGCCAGCACCACAATGATGCCGATGTACAGATTGGACATGTTGGTGCGGCAGCCGCTGGCATTGTTTACCGCAGAGCGGGCCAGTCCGCCGTTGCAGCGGTAGCCCGAGAACACGGAGGTGGCAATGTTTCCCACGCCACAGGCGATCATCTCCTGCGTTATGTCGATCTGCCGTCCCTTGGCAAAGGCCTTGCAAACGGACATCGTCTCGAGCAGCGCCATAATGGGCACAATCAGCAGGCCGTAGCCCAAGCTCTGCACCATCTCCAGAAAGTTCTGGCCGGGTACGGGCGGGATGCCGGCCGTGGCATTTCCAGGCTGTGCTTCGATGGAGAAGGGCGGCCACGAGGGTGTCGGCATGCCTTTTGGGATGTGGCCAGTCAGGCGGAAGGGATTAGTGCCCTTGGCGTCCAGGTGCATGGTGATCAGCGTGAAGATGATCACGATTGAGGCGTTGCGGGAGGTGGCCAGGAACTTGATCACTTGGTTGAAGGCTCTCTGGAATCCGTTTCTGCGGGACTCATCCTTGGGGCCAATGGCGACTCTGCCAAGGCTGCGCATCGCCAGCAGCAGGAAGAGGCAGCCGAAGCCCAGGCACGTGTCCGCCACTCGAATGTTCTCAATGTCCTTGAACATGCTGATCCATGTCTCCAGAAAGGAATCGCCATCGCTCTTCACGCCCAGCATCGATCGCATCTGCGAGGTGGACACAATGAGGGCGACGGCGCTGGTGAATCCCGCACTCACGGGCCCCGACACGAACTCCACCAGGCAGCCGAGCTTGAAGATGGCCATGAATATCTCTATGATGCCCGTGAGGAAGGTCAGCAGCACGGAGCGCTGCCAGGAGCCCTGCGCGAACTGGAATGTCATGAGGGAGGCCACTGCCGTGCTGCCAATTGTGCTGTCCTTGCACGTGCCCAACAGCACGTACACGAAGCAGCCCATGAAGGAGCCATAGAGTCCATACTGGAAGGAAGATGTTTGTTAGTTCCAATGATCCACTGCAGCTTTATCGGTTTAATGAATCCACCATGCTTTGAACATGTATTCCCCTGCCTGATACTTTCGAGCTGCTCGATCGAACACGAAGCTGCCAACCAGCTCGAACCACAATCTTGATTTGACTTTTGCCCACGGAACTTGCTAACGAGCTCGGATAACAATCTCCCCAGATGATATCTTAATTGAGTAATCAGCAGCCTGCCTTCTTTTTAGCAACTCACCTCTGGGGGAAGACCGACGACGCCAGAGTAGGCCAGGCCCTGGGGAATGACCGTGAGGCCAACGGTGAAGCCGGCGAGAAGATCGCCGATGCAGTCGCGCCTATTGTAGCGCGGCAGCCAGGTGAGGAAGGGCAAACGCTTCTTCAGGGTCTTCTTGCGGAAGATGCTGCGGACGTAGCGGGAACAGCAGGAGGGGGATGACTCATCCTGCTTGGCCGCCTCCAGCTGCTCGAGGCTCTTGCACTTGGAGGTGCGGTGGTCGGTGATCAGAATGAAGTCCGTGGAGGAGCTATCGAACTGCGCCTCCAGGTTCTGGCTCACCTCCGCCTGCTTGCGGAACGTTACCTCGTTCTCCAGCGTGGACATTGTGGACTGGGACTCGGACTGGGCCTGTGATCTCGTATATGCTCGCGGGCCAACTGAACTGATGGAGCGCCTTGGACATGCGGACTCAACCTGATGCTGCCCGGCTGCGTCACGCGCTCTTATCTCCGGAGGCTGTTTGCCCACCGTCCGGCGCGTGCGTGTGTGGGAGCGGGATACAGGTTGTATCTTTCAGTTATCTCCACAGCGCCTCCGTAAACACGCCAAACTCTACACAGTAGCGATCTTGACAATGACCAGCCCCAGCCCCACACCCAGTACCAGTCGTAGCCACAGCCCCCCCACCTATGCAGCTCCTAGCTATTCCGAGCCTTTGTTTGCAGTGGAATTCTCGGCCTGTCCAACTGGCACAACTGTCCCCATTGATCTGAATTTTTCCATTAATCAACGGAGCGCCGATATGCTCTGCCCTGTTCCCATATTGATCGGGTAAATATTGATCTTGACAGTTGTTAATCTGTGATTAGAGTGATATGTTTTCTTGGGGCTCAAATCTCTGTTAATAATCGAAAGTGAGGGGTTACTGTGGCCAACTGGCAAAAGGTGTATTTCATCAGGAATGTACATACTGGAAGCTGTACTCGCTAGAGTGCAGGTAATGCTGTCTTCTTATCTGCGAACGACTCTTAGATATGAACAGAACAGGAAGGAAGCACACAATACCTGTCTGGTAAGACAAATAAGATCAGACGGATGCTGCAAGCACGGCTTAACCAGCTCAACCAATCCATTTAGATAAAGAAACAACACCAGTTACTTCTCTTGGAGAACGATTACCCAATCTGAAGAACGCAAAAAACTTTTAACAGGGAGGAACAAAGCACAAACCCTCGCAAGAACAATAAGAACAATGAGAGCATTATTTTGCATGTCCCCGCGTCTGTGTCCTCCTACTGCTACATGTCATTGGTGTAGTTCCGGCTCAGGTGCGATGCCTCATGCGGCGTTGACGAAACACACTCATAGAGCCCCACAGAGTGCTTAATTCTATGCTGAATTCTATGCCAAGATACTTGGCACAAGCCATGGCATGACGCACAAAAGTTCAAAACACCCCCTGAGCCAGTGGCAGTGGCAGTGTTTGCTCTAGTATCTCTCGTACATTTGCCGTTGTTGGCTTATGGCTAAACTACCAGACGCTAATCAAATTCTGGGGCCCCATAAATATTTGCCAACCTGGATGGGGAATATTTTCGGCGCAACTCTGCGATAAAGCGTTAAAATTAGCGCCGGGCTAGTGATGGGGTCACCGTTTCAACTTGGCTGGTAGCCTATTGTGCTCAGGGTTATCTTAGGGAATCAAATTTCATAATTACTTTTACTGCCAGAAGTTAAAATCTGATTTATCAGCCCTGCCGTATATTGATGTTCCGCTACAAACTGGACACATAACCGTTTTACCACATACTTTATCATTGATTTAGTTCCAACATATAAATGTTTTTCTCATACGTATACTAATCCACAGATAATAAACTTTCAAAGGAAGGACTAGCAGTCCAATATTCAAATTCAAACTTAACAGGGCTGCCATATCGTTTAAAAAAGGTTGAGGGAAATATCAACTGCTTTGTTCCAACAATGACGAGGCGTCAAGCAGTACTTTGGCGCAGTATTTAAATAGAAGGAACACATTTACAAAATGTAAGAAATTCAATTGAAGAAGCGTCTGTGTAGCGATTACCAAAAATGTCGTACTCGCAAAACCCTTAAATTAAACTGCGGCCTTAAGTTTATATGTCACAGGTACATCAGAGCTGCCACACCGTTGAGAAAAGGTACCTTGGCTGTGACATTGACGCGAGTGCCCATACTGTTTTTATTTTTACTGTTTCATTAAGTCCGGGTCGAGCTCTACAGCTTCTAGCTGGCCCGCCAACCTGACAACCGACGGTCGCCCGAAGATATACATACATATGTATGCACATAACCAGCGGCCAGCTACCCGATCTCTCCTCGTGAATTATCTTCGAGATCGGGGACTACGACAGAGTGTTCAAGCTTTGTTTTGTGTGTTTGGTTATCTTTTCGTAGTTATGAAAGGGAACTCCCAAGCATCAAGCTGATTTCCCAGACAGGTTGTGCAGAAAGAGGAAGTTCCTTTACAATTGGATTCCCCCAAATCTTATTTTGGGTTTTGCTATGCGTATATTGAGTGGATTGGATTACATCATCCACCTTTTAAAACGCCAACTTTAAATAGAATATTAGCGGTAATCAGAGCTATTAGTAGAAACATGTATGTATACAGGCATGTGAACGTGTATTCAAAATAAGTCAGTTGAAAGTCGATTTCATGGCTAGGCTTCCCGAACTGAGCACCAAGCGGGTATGGCTGGCGTCGCGAAATCAGATTCTGGTTTTCCTGCTACTTCGTCCGTTTAGTTTGGGGCCCCCTCAACTCTTAGTTGGAATTCGCGATTCTAGCCCGACAGTTCGAGTACGAAAATAAGGCCAAACAAAAGCGTACCAAGAAGAAGATAAACAGAGCCAGCAAGTGCCCGAATCCGACGAATGAATCATCTTCGGTTTTTATGGTCGTCGTGAGTTTGTTTTTCACTTTGATTTTTTGTTGCATTTTACGTAGATATTTTTCCAGCCGCTCTCGAGTCGAATCGAGAGTCTCGTCTCTCGGGCTGGCCGCCTCCCGAGCGGCTTCCGCCCCTTCCCTCGTACTATGTGTGTGAGGTTTGTTTTTTATCAACAAAACTATTTATTCGAAGCTCAATATTATACATATAGTCACAGGCAGTAATAAGTCTGCAATGACAGACAGACATCTGTGTGCGGGTGTGTTCTACATTATGTACATACACAGTCTACACGCTCACACTCCATACACACACACGAGTATGCCAGAATTTTCATTCAACGACATTATATGTATGTACATTATATTCGGGCACTCGTTGAGCAGATAAATCGTCTCTCTGTGATGAGTTCATGCAAAAATATGAGAAAGGCTTTCCGCATTTTCCCAGCCACTTCCCCCAGTCTCTGCCGGCTTGGCTATGTCCATGAAGTATAGTGGAGTTCAAGTTTCCTGTTCTGGCTGTGGCTATGTCTCCTCTGCCGCACTCTCTACGCTCTCTAGCACGCAATACTTGTAAATCTAGTTTCGACTCGAGCCTTTAGACAATCAGATACGATCCCGCTTCCCATACATACCCATACATAGCATAAGCCACCCTAAAACTACAATCAAATCCTAGGAACAAGAATTTAGCTGTCCGAAAATACGATATGTTGCCATCCAGGGCTGGCACAGTAGAAACCATAAAAGGCTGCTCACCTGTGGCTGTAGTGGATGAAAGCTTTTTGAAAGATGATCTTCCAGGATTCTCTGACAGAAATCTTGTTTTTTTTCAGCTGAGTGTATCGGCTCCTCATAATTATTAACAGATTTGAGTTATACAGATACGATTTAAGATAATAGGAAGAAGAATGATTTAAATATTATGTAACGAACACAAACATTTAGTGGCCAAAGTGAACACAAAAATTACCATCCCTCATATTATGTCATTATTAAAATAAATTGAAAGAATATGTAATCAAAAATCGATAATGTTTGCCTTTTTTTAACATAAAAGTCCACAAATGTTGCGAGATTCCGAACCATCTAACCATTATTTATGTAAATATGTACATATGTAGCTTTCAATTTGCATATCTGTTGTTTTCTTCCGAAAAACCCCGTTCTTAAAATAAGAGAAAAATAAAATACATAAATACGAAAAAAATAATAAAAAATGCCGACAGCCAAATATAACAAGCGACTGTCTCTCGCAATCTCTCACAATCTCAAAACCAACTAGACACCATAACCATTTATTTGTGCCTTTCTGAAAATATAACACCGAACCGAAGCGCACATAGCATATGTATGTACGTAAAATACATATATATGCGTATATATAGTTTGGATTTTGTAGGCCCGTTCGTCGCTTTCGAGTTTTCAAATTTAGTATTGAAATCGCCGTTAACGACGGTGGTTGCTTCAATTTCGCCGTTGCTTGCTCTTCGTTTCCTGAGCGCTCTCTCTCTCTCTCTGTCTCGCGCGCTGCTGGTAAGTCCAAGTGTATGGGTGTGTTCTTCTGGCTGCCAAGCAAGTCATTTGCTGAATAATAGTTGAATCTTGGAAATTGTTTTAAAACTATTGAACTGTCGGCCTCAAAATATCTGGAAATGGCAAGGAGGGGTTCCGGAGCACACCGAGGGGGCTGTCATGTCAGTTGTCAATTGGCTTTTATTTAAATTCGATATGGATGTAATTGGAAAATTTAATTCAGTTGTTCTTTTTCTTGAAAAACTTCTCAGCACTCACATAATAAGCGTAAATTTGTGCTCGCGCGCGTGTGTGCGTTTGTGTTTTCATGTTCGTGTTCGAGAGTCGGAGCCGACGAAAAGAGCGCAGCTTATTCTTGTTTTGCTGCGCTGGTTCAAGGCACATTGATACAAGGTGACCAATTTCCGTTCATTGAGAGTGAAACCTACCTGTGCTGCGTACCTGCCTATAGAAAGAAACTAAAAAACGTGCTATGTAGAGGCATAATCACCGTATATTATTGTATCATGCGGCTTATTGTCAACGTTCCGTTGTATCTCTGCTCATTACAGTGGACACAATCAATTTAAATTTAATTGGGAAAATACATATCCGCTTTGGGTGCAGTGTTAGTTTTGAGTACATGTGTGCCCGCCCCCAAATGCTATAAAGCCTATCCAAATCGAAGGAAATCGCGGTATTGAATCAGATGTGCCAAACAGGACCAACAGGCCATGAGGTCAGACAACCCGTTTCGTTTTCCATGACCCCGTGACCACTGTGCTATTTGCTAATCTCAAGCCGCGCGTTATATTTGCAAGAAATGCCACAGAAAGCTGGAAAATGACGCAAAAACTGTTCGGATTTTTTCGAATATTGCCCCTTGCCATTATCCCCTCTCCCGTCTTCATGACATTGACGGGAATAAAGTCTTCCTCTTGCCTTAATTTGGCATATTCTTTTGTTTCTCTTCGCATAATTTGTATTTCTTTTGAATTTTTTGCGATTGCGACTACTTACGAAGTAGCTGTGTGCGCTCACCCTTAATTTCTTAAGAATTTATATTAATTATTCATTAGCCCCATATCATATTTACGAAAACACTATCTCAAAAAAAGAGTTCATTTCTATTATTGAGCGACGACTTCTTGATTGTTATTTGGTATGTGTGGTGCAAGTGTGTGTGTGTTCGTGTGTGTTGTACGTTCGTATTTGACGTGTTTTTTCGGGCCATTATTGTTTTGAAATTCGTAATCAAAATCGATAAAAATATATGCTTCCCCAGTACCAGATTTGTGTGCTTTTTTCCTTAAGTTTTCTATTGGTATGTGTGCACGATTGGGGTATGGTATGAGTGTGTTGGGTTCTGCTCTTTTCATGGATTTTGGAATGTGTTAAACAGTTGGAAACACGTCAACATCCCGTCCACATTTCATGGTTTTGTAAGCTCAAACTGAAAACACACAAACGTTTCTATGGAAGTTGTCCAAAGGTGGTGGATTTCCAAAGTAGAATTGAAATATGTATGGACTTCAAATATACATACAGACATGCGTATACAATATTTTCCAAATAATATTGGAAGACACACAAGTTTTCAATATTTTCAAAGCCAATCGAATTATTTCTGCTTCAGATACTACAGAGTGATTAAATTTCACTCATAGAACAATGTTAATGCCACGATATATGGGCCTGAACGACAGCACTTCGTCGTCGGGCAAAAATGCATCCAGCTCGTCCTCATCCAGCGGGAGCCCAGCCATCACGGTGGCCGCCCACACGAAGATGCGTCTGCTGAACAAAGTGGAGCACAACATGCGTCAGAGCCAAGGTCAGAGCCAGAGCCAGAATATCAACAGCCTCATCAGCACGGCCGCAACGGGCAATGGAGTTGTGGGCGATGTGGACGGCCTACTCATGCCCATGCGCATTGAGGTGAACCATTCGCCGCCACCCGCAGTCGTGCCGATGGGCCCAGGCATTGGTGGGGGTGGGGCCAAGAGCGATGTTGTTGTCCATGCAAACACGCGGCCGGAGCGCAACCTGTGGAGTCGACCCGAGATGCTGGAAATGCTGAGCATAATGCAGAACATCAATGCGCTTGAGAAGCTGCACGATCGGAACACAAAGAGCGAGCACGTGTTCCGGCAGGTCGAGACGATAATGCGCAGCAAGGGATACGTGAAAAAGTCGAGCATTCAGATCTGGACCAAGTGGAAGTTCCTTAAGTCCACCTACAACACAACGACGCGGTACGGCACTGGAGTGCCCAAGGTGGTGCCTGAGGAGGTCTACCGCGTCCTCTGCCGCATGCTGGGTGGCGGTGATGGCCTTAACGCCAGTGGCAGCCTCAGCGAATGCGGCAACTCCATGGACAGCTCCAAGACTATGGGCGAGGAGGATGAAATGGGCGTGGAACATCCCATATTTGGCTTTCGTTTGGGCCTCGTGAAACCGGAGCCCATTGATACAGGTAGGAGGCAAAATAAGTGGCAACGCTGGCTTGAAACCCCCGTTTTGAAATTTACACCAACAGACGCTTTGACGTTTCGTTTTTTATTTTTTGCACAATATCCAGACGATTAGTTGCAGTGGCCGTGCGTCGCGTAGGACTTTCTGTTGATTAGTATATTCTATTAATTTTATAAATTGATCGACCACTTGCAGGCTACGAAACAGCGCCGAAGGACGTGATATCCGAGCCAGACTTGGAAGCTTTCAACAACGAGGCACACAATCGCGGTGATCCCGACAACGTGCCCCACATGCCCATCATTGTTTCGGTGAAGCACGAGCCCGAAGTGGACCTGGGCATGGACGGCACAAACACCCCGCCTCCCACGGCTCCAGCATCTCCCACGCCGCCGCCAGTGAGCGTGGAACTTAATGCTGATGATTCCAATCACATGTACACACCCTCGCCAATAATGCCACCGCTGCGAGTGGCGTCGTTTGCCAAGGATGAGCTGAAAAGGCCCACCCACGGCATACTGCAGATCGATCGTCCGCCGTCGTCCCTAGGGCAAATGGGACCGTTTCCAGGCCAACACGACAAAGGCACCCGCTCGATGGCACTGCAGAGCACGAGCAGCATCAACTTCGTGCATCCCACCAGCAAGCTAATGCTGCCCCGGAAGCAGCCCGTGCGCCTGCCACGTGACATCAGTGTCCAGCCGGCGGGAATGCGCCTCAAGTCGGTGCCCATGCGGGAGACGGGTTATTCGCTGCGCCCCGAACGCATGATTCCCGATCTGGGACATTCTATATCGCCACCACAGTCCCCGACGCCACCGCCCCCCATCTACTCACAGAGCGTACTGCGGGGCCCTCCTCCTAGGTACCCCATGCCATCCCAAGCTCCATCCAGCAGCCACCAAGCCCAATATCTGGCGCAACAGCAGTCGCAACAGCAGCCGCAGCCACAGCCTCAGACGCGAAAGCGTCGTAATGGCCAGACCCCTGCAGTTCCTGTCAAGTTGCAGCGGAGTTCTATGGGCTACGAGTCGACGCCCAAGAATTCCCGTGCTGCACCCCCGGCCGAAGCTCGGTCCGCCCCAGAGGACAGCCGCAACTCAAAGGAGGAACAGAAGGAGCGACGCAAGCGGCAGCATGAGGATCTGTTCACCAAGGAGCTCACCCTGCTGGCCAATGGCATGCGGACGGCGCAGAAGGAAATGCTCGACGACTTCTTCAAGCAGCAGAGAAAGTTCGCCCGGAGCGAGCACCTTTTCCAGATGAAGCAAGACTCTCTGGTGATGAAGGCATTGCGCAAACAAACGGATGCTCTGCTGCAAGTTGCCAACGAGCTGATAGGAGACAACCACGCGCCGAAGATGGAGAAGGATAATCGTGAGACTAGTGCAGAGAAAAATACGGAAAAGAAAGAAGATATAGCCGAGGAGAAGGAAAATAAAGCTGCGGAAAATGAAGACAAAGCTGAGGAGAACGAAGATGCTGATGCCGATGGTGCGGATTCGGAGAACGAGGAGGATGATGAAGATGCCGAAGAAGAGGACGAGGAAGAGTATGATGATGAGGAAAACATGAACTTTGAAAGCGAGATGGACATATGCACAATGGCAATGTCCGAATCGGCCAAGAGCCACAGCCATGATGAGTCCAGCGACGGCGACGCTCACAGCGAGGCCGAGTAGTAGTTTCCACCCCCGTAGATCCCTAGTATTACCCCCAAAAAGTAATTAGACATTTTAGCAGAAACCGATTCATTCCAATCGCATTCCTTAAGTTTAAACCCTAAAAAACATATATTCCTAGAGCCAGGCCCGCGCATTGTTAAAAGACTTGATAATATTTAAGCATACAAAAATAACTGCAAGAAACGAGAAGTAATTATAATTAAATGTATTTATTGTTCACCGATTGTCCGTGCCACAAGCATGGATCATCCAAAGTGCTGTAAGATTATTGAAACAACAAACACATACAAACATACCACACATAAAAGTATGATAAAGAATACATTATGAATGATATGATATCAACAGAAGAAACAAATCAAACGTTGTTTATAATTTTTGTGAATCTCTTCTGATGGGGGGTTACAGATATTCAATTTAAAATTTCCTAACAAGAAAAATACATACGTAAATATGTTTAAATATTGCATTAGTTTGACAAAACAAATTGAGAAAAAAGGTTGAAAAGAAAACTAGAAATTAGTTGCTCTTAGTATCTAGAAAATTTGTTTAAACTAAATATTAGATATTACTAGGCTTAAAATGACAATCTGCGAATGCACTTAACTAGTTAATGCCCCCCCTTTGTGCTCTCTCCGTTTCGCCTGATTGCGGGTTAGTTTACAATTCTGGTTAGGCCTAAAGCAATGTGTGTGTTAGTAGCTAGTATTTTATTTTACAATTACCATTACGTTTACGATTACATGTGTGCCTGTGCCCCCCGCTACCATTATTCTGCCTCTCTGCGTGTGCTTAATGTGGGTGAGAGGGAGAGAGAGTAGAGTGGAGCCCTATCTAGTCCGGCCGATAGATGGGCGTTTTGGGTATAAATTCAATTAAAATAACATACTCCATCATGGAATTGGAATCACATTGTTGCTTATGCAGTCGCCAGTGCAGGCCCAGCTTATGATATAAATGATTATTCTCCCATTCGAACAGTTTGTCCAGAGTGAGTTGTGTCTGTGTGCATACAAAGAAATGGAAACGAGTTAGAACATTTTCTATAATAATAATCTGGTATGCTTACGCGTTTGCTCAGACAGATGACTGGCCAGAGGGAGCAGCCGAGGGTGCAACAGCAGCAAACGCAGCCACAGAAGAGCCACTTGACATTGACGGGTAGGGATTTCTTCAGTACGCCATTAATCCGACCCACAGTCGCTTTAAACTCCTCGGGTGCCACGCGTGACAGCAGGCCGCATGGAAACTCCGCATTAAAGCGATTGCTCAGACCAAATCTGTGAGTAAAGGGCGAGAAATTAATTATGGACTACTGAGGTTCCTACTCTCCACCCCATGTGGCGCCTCTACTAAGTAGCTAACGTTTCTCTTATGCAACATGCTGGCAATTGACAGCTGGGGCCACAGAAAAATGCACCCAGCAACGGCGACAGGTCGAGCACCACCCCAAAAATGAGGTCAAGCCGTATCAATAAAGCCGCTCTACAAGCAAAACTCTGCGAAAGCCTATGACGAAATTAGGTGGCACAGACCTTGAACTACATTTTCAATTGCAGCATACAGACAAAAAACGAATCGAGTCTATCTTCCCTCCATCACTGATATAAACTATTCTCGAGTATTCTTTATCGACAACTTACACAGTCATATTGCCAGCGCCTCGAATTATGATGGGCTCGGGCACTGGCGCCACCGATTGATCCTGAAAGTGCTCCAACTCCTCCAGCTGCTCATCCTCGTAGATGGCATCGAAATCGGAGAAAGACATAGTTTAAGTTATAATTGCTGATAGGCCTCACAAGGCTGCAAAGAGGAAGGCGAAGGCGTCACAGCAGACGGCGACAGGCAGATGGTCAAAACATGTTTGGGTATGTTCGTGCCTGCTTTTGTTTCAAATCAAATCGTTGCAGTGCGCTTTCAGTTGATGTCGTTGGATGAGCAGCCGCTGCCTTTGTTGTTGGCTGCTGCTTCCGCCATACGCTTTGTCGTCAATTGCGCTCTTTTCTGATATGAGATGACGTCTTCTCCAGGAGGGGGCGGGCAGCATGGAGGGTCGAGATCAAAGTATAAAATAAAATGCATATTAAAATTGGAAAACAATGATTTTTAATAGCAGTATGACGCTGTACAACACTATTTCGCCGTCTGCTTTGTTGTTGCTGCTGCTGCTGGCGATGTCGTACATGGGAGGGGGATAGATCCGTGAGGGCCTTTTGACTCCCATACAAAGACATTTCAATACTATAAGTTTGTTTATCCAATTGAAACATGATAGCACGCAAAATATAGGCCAACATCAGCTGCAACAAAAACACAAACGACTACACACCTCCTCCTATTACACGACGACTCCCTCCACTGCACTGCTATTACACCTTTCCTTTCTTTCCCACGCAGCGTATTTCGCAATCACTTTTTTCAAAACAGCCGTAGACGCACTGTCGCACTGGAGGTTTTTACGAGTGTTTTATTTTGCCATTTGACAGGTTTTTTTGTTATCATTCGAGCACAGGGTTTACAACTTTTACACGCTTTCTACGTTTTGTAATACGAAAATAGCTTCTCCTCTGCTCTGCTCTCGTGCTGCTGTATATTTGTTGTTTGAGGCACGAACAGCTGTTGGCCGCGCAGGGTTGATATTGATATATTGATTTATTTATTAACTATATAAAATAAATACGTTGTATGTATAATATACATAGCCAGCTAGTATAAAGCTTAAACGCTAAACAAAGACAATGGTGTTGTGCACAAATTCGAAAAGTTAGCAACTCAAAAAACATTGCAGCATTAGACTAGGCTAGGATACAATTATAAAATAAAGGTTTAGACGAGTATGTTTTCGCAATTGCATGAACGACAAGGCATATTTGAGAGGTACAGGCTTCCTTCCGGTATCTGGGTAGAAACGATTTTCTACTTCTTTTTCGCCGCACTGGGGCTGGTCGATTGGAACACCGACGAAGCGGACATCAGATTCTCGATGTACTGCCCCAGAACCTGGTTTTCGGAGCGCAATTTGAGATTCTCCTCCTTCACAGAGTCCACACGCTGGGACAGATCGTCCAGGGTGTTTTGCAGCTCCAGCACCTGGGTGATCAGGCGTGCCTTCTCCTCGCGATCATCCTGCGCCATCTCCAGCGTGTCCAGCGAATGCTGGGAGGAATCTGGAGTTGAGCTTCGGTTAGTGAACGACGAGCGCAACGAATCCATGGACTGGCCACTGGGCATATGTGGGGCTGTCGAGGGCTCATCCTCCTGGATGACAACTGCTCAAAGAGAAATTAAGGTTTGAAATGAAATCATCATCACGAGACTCGCCCACTCCCACACTCTCTCACCCTGCGGATCTTCGTCTATGGCCAGTATGCTGTCATCGTTGTTAAGCAGTGACATGGTTAGGTTCTGGGTAACGCCGTTTCCCTCAATTTTGCAGCTATTTTTATTTAATGTTCGGTAAAAATTTTGCAAACGTTTTCTGAATTGTTTTGTCACGAAAACGAAAACTACCACTTTGTCTGCGCGCTTCTTTGCCACACTGGCCAATATGAGCTGCTGTGGCACGTTGCCCAACACTCATCGAAGTTCAACCGGAAGAAGTCTACTTATTTTATGTTTTTTACCAACTTTTTAAACAGTTAAGCCGCCCCTAATTTCTGCGATGTTATCTTGAAGTGTTTAAGAAAGTCATTATTCATTTACCTGTATAAAGTCGTGAACATAAGCACAATACCTGTTGTTTTGATGCGATTCAGTGAAGAGTTTTCTTTCAGCTGCAACACTCTTTTCAGTTTAAAAATGGAAAGATGCGTATTGGTTAACTCTGTCGTCAACTTAGTTTAGTTGCTTAGCCTGTACTAATGGGCTATTTTCATTTTATGTGCAAACAAAAGCAAGATGTACAAAATATATTAAAATATTTTCAAAATAACTGACAGCAGCCACAACCGACAGAGTTGCTATTTCGATCACAGAAATGAAAATGCACACGCATCTCGCATAGTTTTAACATCGCCAACTGCGAGTAACGTAATTTCATCTAGTTTGTGGATCCATGTGTGTTTCAGTGAGGCAAAAGCTTGTCGCTTATGCACCCACCTCCCAGTCAACAATAACAACAGTTAGTTGCGTATCATAAAGTTCACAATTATTTCGTGCGGTGCGCGAGGTCGCAGTGTTAACACCATCGCAGTCTAATGATTGAGCAGGTAAGGCTTATTCCGTGCATATCATAAACACAATTGTACTGATGCTTGTAAAAACACGTTCTGTGTGTCTGCCCACCCACAGGTCATCCTGGTTCTGGTCCTTTGATTCTGTAATCTGAATTCGCTCGGAGGTTCTCTCTCTGTGCATGTGTGCGTCAGAAAAGTAAGTAAACAGTTATGTTTTTAAGAGTGAGAGGTTAGCATTTTGTGAAACCCAAAGCTGGAGAGCATAGTTTAAGCATTTTTTGCAAACTCAATCACAAATCAGCTAAAATCAAAACCCTGATAAGAAGGTATTGGGCATTGCCATTGGGCTGTCCGGTGGCTTCATACGTAACAGAAAGAAGTCAACATAAAGATTCTGCTGCAAGTTTATCTAGACCATAATTGGCATAAGCGGTGCATGGATTCTTGCGTATCTATAAATAGTTTTATGTTATTTCGGAGATAACAAAAACCTTCGAAAACCAAAAATGGTATCAAAATTCAATATATGCTTGGTGTGACCGCATGCACAGCATAAAATATACCAGACGGCTCCAAAATCACCTAAAAAAAGCTGAAACATACGCATATACATATTGATCAAATAAAGTTTTGATTTCATTTTAAATTACCTCATACTTTATATTGGTCATCTAATATTTCTAGTCTTAAATGAATAAATGAAAAAGGTCTTTTTTCCGGGCCTGAATGAATGTATATGGTACGCCCACATGTTAAATTCTAAGCATCCTTCACAAACAAGTTAATGCACGCATTTTCCTATCCCTCTCATATTTTGTCTTTTATATCTGTACCCAAAAAATATTTTTAATCAATTTCAGATATCTGTGTTCGGGCAGCACAAACCGTTTTAAAGATTACAAACGTCAACGGAACTGCCATCCAATTAAATAATTGAAAATACCACCAGGAAATACTGAAAACTAGTGCAAATAAACGCGCGAAAATAATAACTGCGATTGCAAATGTTTAAATGTATAGATAATCAGGAGATTATAAACATATGGAGTGAACAAAGATACAAAACAACAAACAATAGATATATTGCAATACAGAAGCAACGATTCTCAGACGTGAGAAGCAAAAACCAAAAGTGGAAAAATACCAAACTCTGGTCCAGGCCAGAGTGTAAAATGCGCAAAACTTTGTTGTAAAACGTTCAATAGCGAAGAAGCGTTGAAACGAGACGCGAGGAGTTGTGATTAGTGAATTAAGAATATTAATCCGTTTTAAGTATAAAGACAAAAGCACGCGACCTGGTGGAGTGACAAGTGGCCGAGAACAGACAAGATGTTGCCTGCCAACGGGGGGGACTCGAAGCAGAGCCAAGTGAATCGCAAAATTTCCATTCCGAATATTACCATCATACCGCGCAAGAGTGCCGAGGAGATGCGTTTCCTGCCCATCGCCGCCATGCCCACAAAGCATAACTCCAGCATACACATTAACAACGTTCAATCGGCAAAAACCAACAACAATAATAATATCCACACGGCAATGAAATCCACACTGACCATGACGCCTTTGAACATGAACATTGTACAAGCGAGTGGAGGGAAAACCACCAGCCTCGAACCAGGAGCCGTGGCTGCCATTCAGCTGGTGCCCATGCCTGCCACAGGCGGCGCCACAAACCATCATCCGAACCTCCTGGCCATTATAAGGACATCCGGCAAGACCGCGATGATAAGTGCCACTCCACCGCATGCCCAGCCAATCATGATACGTCCTAATCCAGCCATGCCCCGGCTGTCACATCCGAGCAAAGGAACTTTCACTATCAACAGTAGCAATGGTTCGACCACTGTTAAAGCCTCGTCAATCGCCAGCGCCACAAAGACAGTCGCCAGCAGAACATTAGCAGAGTTTCCCAATTCGATGGCCGCCATGACGGCACCAGCACCAGGTGAGTGAAGTTTCATTTTTGTCTCCAAAGTTATGTAATGCAGGAAGAGATCTTTCCATGCGAGAGATTTGACAGATCCGTGATATTCTGCGTTCGTTTTGAGCCTCTGCTTGAGTTCGGTTCGGTTTAGTTTCGGTTTTGGTTTCAGTTTCGATTTTGGTTTCCAGCCAGCAGGCAGCAGCAGTCGCCGCTCTCGCGCGCGTCCATTCCATTGTCGGAGCGACGGCAGCAGCAACAGCAATAGCAACGACATCGACAAACGACAACGACGTGTGCGTAGATTTTATTGTGTGTTTTTAGTTTACATGTTCTGTGGCTGGTTTAGCTGGCATTTTGTTGCACATTTCATAATCGTTTAGGAAGCGAATGCAAAACTTAATTGAATTTCGAGTGCGTGCGTGTGTGTACAGTTTGTATGTTTGGAGCAGAATAGTTTGCCGTGCTCTAGCCCTACCGTAAATAGTGTATTTTTACACCATCGAGGGAAACGGGGAATCGATTGTCGGATCAAAGATTTTCTGCTGAAGAGCGCAAGATAAAATACACTCGTAGAGTGTAGAGCGGTTCTTGTGTTGGATTTTGTAAAAAAAATTTTCTTTTTTATCAATATCACCATTGTGGAGTGGCGAAAAGAGGTGCAGGGGCAGGGGCATGCCTGGGGTAGCAACAACAACAGCAACCAGAGAGTGACGATGGTGATGATGACGATCAGGTTTTTAGCAGCTGCAATAAGCAGGCAAACCAGGGCAGGGCAGGCAGCGGTGGGAAAACACACACACACAACATTCGATTTGGATTTCGCGAGGATCGGCCCGGGCATAGTCCCGTACCCTACATTTGTGCAATAAACATTTCAATAATATTGTTGCTTATATTTGCAGCAGCACCTGTACCTGGTTCAGTATCAGCAACTCCAACGGCAATTGCAACGGCACCCGTATCTGCAACTCTACCTGTACCTGCCGCTGGCTCCGTAACAGCTGCATCAGTAGCAGCAGTGGCAAAGGCAGTTCCATCGCCGCAGCAGCAGCAAATCTCACTGATCGGCGGGCAGCCATTGAAACCACGTGCCCCGCTTATACTCAGCAAGGTGGCTGTCGATAAGCTGCGCATTAAGATCAATCAGGCAAGGGTCAATCCCAATGCCATCATTGTCAGCAAGGCGCTTGAGCAGAGCAGTGCCGCCCAAGCGGAAGGAAAACTTCAACCCACGCCAATTACCGTGAACGACATGACCAAGACATGCTCGACGCAGCCAGCAGCATCAGTTGAGAGTGGCAGTGGAAGCAACAGCAGCAGCAGCAACAATCAGTTCATATATCCGAAAAAGGCGTTACCACTACCCAGCAGCAAGGACACAGCCAAACCCAAGACTTCCGCATCAACAACAACCATTGAGAGCAGCAGCAACAACAACAAAGAGAAAGACAACAAGAAGAAGTGTCCCATAAATGCCCTGCCTCTCTCCACATCAAAGGACATGTCAAAGGCTCCGCCCGCCAGCAGCAAGATGAGCCCCAATCCAAATCCCAGAGAAATCACCATGCAAACCGTCATCAATGGCCCTCCACAGAAAACGGAACAGAAAGCAGAACAGAAGATGGAACAGAAAACAGAGTCCAAGTCAAAGCCAATGGGCATGGCCCAGCCGCCAGCAACGCACAAAGTGAAGCGTTCCAAGTCATTTGTGTCGCCTGAGGAGGTGGCCATAATGCGAGCCATACAACGGCGTCGCTACTCGGTGGCCAGGGAACCCCAAGCACCTGCAAAGGAGCCTCAGGAGCCTGTAAAGCAGCCACAGGCACCCGAAAAGCTGCCCCAGGCAGCCGCAGAGCAGCTTCAGGCACACGCAAAGCAGCCCCAGGAACCCGTAAAACAGCCCCAGGAACCCGAAAAGCAGCCACAGGCACCCGCAAAGGAACCACAGGAACCCGTAAAGCTGCCACAGGCAGCTGCAAAGAAACCTCAAGCACCCGTAAAGCAGCCCCAGGAACCCGAAAAAGAGTCTCAGGCAGCCGCAACGGAGCCCCAAGCAGCCGAAACGGAGCCTGTTGCACCCGCAAAGGAGCCTGTTTCTCCTGCAAGCGATCCCGTGGTATCCGATAAGGAAGACGACGCCGTTGTCATGCTTGAAGATCCGCCCATTGTGACAATCACAATCGACACCGATGATAGCGACGATGAGGGGGAGAAGGAGCAGTCGGCAAAGTTGCCGCCGATTCTCTCCACAGCTGCACTGACAGTCACAGCCATACCGGGATCAGCTAGACGCACATCCACACCGAACAGCATCAGCACGAGCACCAACACTGGTACAGCACCGAGAGGCATCTCCAACACTGGTGCCTCTTTGGGCAAGCTGGAATCGCGCAAGAACTCACGAAAGAACTCTTCGACCAGCAACGGCGGCACTACGTTGTCTTCCTACAGGAAGAGTTCCCATGGCAGCATCAGCATCTCAAGCAGCAGCTGCTCGCTCAACAGCGATGTGGAGGAGGTTGTGCTGCCCGCCAAGAAGCGGAAGGAAGAGCCAGCGATGCACAGGAAGACGCAGACGATAAGCATAGTCAAGGCGGAATCTGTGTCCAACGAAGATTTTGAGCGGTCGCTGCGTTGTGAGGAGGCGTTGGTCCATACGCCCGAGTCCTCTGGCCCCAGAGCCTCCTCCGCCAAGGTGCCTCAGCGTCGGCCTGTGCCTCTACCCACGCAGAATGGCCACCACCAGGCCAAGGCGCACAAGACGACCTTCTTCATGATTCCCACGCCCCCGTCTGGAGCCAATGCCATTTCGTTGAAGAAGGCGATGCTCAACAACCTGCAGATGCTGTGTTGGCGCCCACAGCAGCCGGCCAGCCTGCAGAACTCCTCGCTACGCTTCGACATCAACCGCTACAGCCTGCTGCAGCTGAACGAAAGATGCGAGCCACGCCATGGTCCCGCCAGCTACTTCGAGCGCGCTCTTTTCGACCGTCCCGGCCGTCGGCCCACCGACAGCCTCCATCCGCTGCTGTATCTGTGCCAGCGATGCAATTGCCATGGCCCTGCCGCTGATTTTCTGGCGCCACGTGAGTAATGGGGTTCCAAGGGGTGCCGCACGGCTCAAGGGAATCGTCCTTCAATCTAATCGTTCCTCTATTTCCACAGATTACTGTTCCGTGGGTTGTGTGCGACGAGCTCAGAAGCGGCGTATGCCCGCCGTAGTCACATCCCAGAGCAAGATGCCCAAGAAGGGGCTGACGCCGCAACAACAGCAGCAGAAGAAGCTGGAGCAGCTGCAGCATCAGCGGGCCAACCGGGCGGAGCTGGAGCAGCGGCGGATCACGGCCTCCAAGAGGCCCTTCCGCTGGACCGACTACATGAAGACACATGGGCCAGAGTTGACGGCACCCATTCATCTGTTCTTCAATCCGTTTCCACGCAACGCCAACTGCTTCGAGCGTGGCATGAAGCTGGAGGCCATCGATCCAGAGAACTGTTCCCTTTTCTGTGTGTGCACCGTGTCGGAGGTGCGTGGCTATCGGCTTAAGCTCAGCTTCGATGGATACTCCAGCATGTACGACTTCTGGGTGAACGCCGACTCGCTGGACATCTTTCCGCCAGGCTGGTGCGAGAGCACAAATCGCATACTGCAGGCGCCCAAGGGCTACTGCTCGCAGCGCTGGAGCTGGAGCCGGTATCTGGTGAAGACCAACGCCAAGGCGGCACCCCGCGTACTCTTCCCGCACTTGAACCACACGCCGTACAAGCGTGAGAATCGTTTCCGTCGTGGCATGCATCTGGAGGCGGAGGACCTCAACGACACGGGCAAGATCTGTGTGGCCACGGTGGCGGACATACTGGACGAGCGCATACGCGTCCACTTCAACGGCTGGGACGACTGCTACGACTTCTGGGTGCACATCAGCTCCCCGTACATCCATCCGTGCGGCTGGCATGCCGGTCGCCAGCAGCTGATTGTGCCCCCCAGCTACCACAACACCGTCTTCAGCTGGGAGGACTTCTCGCGTCGCAAAGGCGGCATTGCAGCACCCGAGGATCTGTTCTCACCGCGGCAGCCCATGGACTTTCAGGCGCGCATGAAGCTGGAGGTGGTGGATCAGCGCAATCCCTGCTTGATCCGTCCGGCCACGGTGGTCACCCGCAAGGGCTACCGCGTGCAGCTGCATCTGGATTGCTGGCCCAACGAGTACTACTTCTGGCTGGAGGACGACAGCCCCGACCTGCATCCCATTGGCTGGTGCGAGGCCACACAGCACGAGCTGGAGGCGCCGCCCGGTTTCCTGCAGGCCCCCGCCCAGATGCCCTGCGACGTGGAAGGCTGCCGCGGCTTCGGAAATGCCAAGCGCTTCAACCTCAACGTTCACGCGCTGCCCGACTGCTGTCCGTATGCACCCGTGAACTGGCGCCAGTGGCGCTCCAAAACGGTGAAGCCGCCACGCGTGGCACCCGATCAGATCAGTCGGGTACCGCTCCGCGAGCCAAAGAAGTTATCTGTTGATAATTTGCTCCCGTCGCCACTGTCAACCTTTGGGAAAGGATACAGACGGGAGGGCCTGCCAGAGCTGATCATCGAAGCGGAGCGAGTGGAGCCGGACAACGCGCAGATAGTCATCGAGGGCGAGTGCATGATAGAGGACGAGGCTCAGATTGTCATCAAGGAAGAGTGCATCGAGGAGGAGCGGCCAAAGCTTATCGTCGAGTTGGAGGCCAAAATCGAAGACAAGCCAGAGATCAAACCCAAACGCAGGGAGACGATACCCAAAGCCAAGGACATCAAAGAAGATACCAAGGCGGTCATCGAAGTTCAACCGGAAGAAGTCTACTTATTTTATGTTTTTTACCAACTTTTTAAACAGTTAAGCCGCCCCTAATTTCTGCGATGTTATCTTGAAGTGTTTAAGAAAGTCATTATTCATTTACCTGTATAAAGTCGTGAACATAAGCACAATACCTGTTGTTTTGATGCGATTCAGTGAAGAGTTTTCTTTCAGCTGCAACACTCTTTTCAGTTTAAAAATGGAAAGATGCGTATTGGTTAACTCTGTCGTCAACTTAGTTTAGTTGCTTAGCCTGTACTAATGGGCTATTTTCATTTTATGTGCAAACAAAAGCAAGATGTACAAAATATATTAAAATATTTTCAAAATAACTGACAGCAGCCACAACCGACAGAGTTGCTATTTCGATCACAGAAATGAAAATGCACACGCATCTCGCATAGTTTTAACATCGCCAACTGCGAGTAACGTAATTTCATCTAGTTTGTGGATCCATGTGTGTTTCAGTGAGGCAAAAGCTTGTCGCTTATGCACCCACCTCCCAGTCAACAATAACAACAGTTAGTTGCGTATCATAAAGTTCACAATTATTTCGTGCGGTGCGCGAGGTCGCAGTGTTAACACCATCGCAGTCTAATGATTGAGCAGGTAAGGCTTATTCCGTGCATATCATAAACACAATTGTACTGATGCTTGTAAAAACACGTTCTGTGTGTCTGCCCACCCACAGGTCATCCTGGTTCTGGTCCTTTGATTCTGTAATCTGAATTCGCTCGGAGGTTCTCTCTCTGTGCATGTGTGCGTCAGAAAAGTAAGTAAACAGTTATGTTTTTAAGAGTGAGAGGTTAGCATTTTGTGAAACCCAAAGCTGGAGAGCATAGTTTAANCAGTCGGGTACCGCTCCGCGAGCCAAAGAAGTTATCTGTTGATAATTTGCTCCCGTCGCCACTGTCAACCTTTGGGAAAGGATACAGACGGGAGGGCCTGCCAGAGCTGATCATCGAAGCGGAGCGAGTGGAGCCGGACAACGCGCAGATAGTCATCGAGGGCGAGTGCATGATAGAGGACGAGGCTCAGATTGTCATCAAGGAAGAGTGCATCGAGGAGGAGCGGCCAAAGCTTATCGTCGAGTTGGAGGCCAAAATCGAAGACAAGCCAGAGATCAAACCCAAACGCAGGGAGACGATACCCAAAGCCAAGGACATCAAAGAAGATACCAAGGCGGTCAAAGAGGAGGCAAAGCCTAAGATAGTCAAACGACAGGATGAAACGACAGCTAAATCGAGTGAGGCAATGCCCAAACAGAAGGAGAAGGAGACGATACCCAAAACCAAGGAGGTAAAGTCCACAGAAAAGGAAGCAAAGTCCACTGCAAAGATCGTGCCCAAGGAGCCCAAACCCACACCCAAAGAGACAAAAGCCACGCCCAAGTTGAAGGAAACGAAACCCACGCCCAAAGAGAAGGCAGCCAAGCCCACAGCACAAAAGGCTAAGGAGACGAAAGCACCGGCTGCACGTAAAGTAAATGCGGAGGAGCCGGTGGATCCTCGCTGCATCACTATTGCCATGCCCATTGTGAAGGACTATGGGCCACAGCTTGTGCACAATTATCGTCTCTGGCAGAAGAACAGCGCCTTTGCTCTGAGCACGATCAAAAGCAATCCCCTCTACTGGACCAACTGGGATGTGTACGAGTACGTGGAGCGTGCCCTCGACTCTCGCAGCATTGCGCAGACAATATTTGACCAGGACATTGATGGACGGGCGCTGCTCATGCTGGGACGCAATGATATCAGCGATCATCTGCATCTGAAAACGGGCCCCGCCGTTAAGCTCTTCTCGCACATTGTCAACCTTCGCATTGCGGTCGTCTGCAAGTTCAACATGACCTGCTCGGGCTTGGACATTTTCAACTTCGAGGATGTCGACGCGCTAAATCAGAAGACGGTCACAAAGCAACGGGTCGAATGCAAGCAAATTCCACTGCAACAGTCACAGCAGAAGAATCCTCAGCAGACAATGAACAGCAGCAGCAGCTATGAGCTGGAAGAAGAGTCGGACGATGATTTTGATGAGGATGATGACAGTGAGGAGACTGTGGGCGAGAGCGTTAACAAACTCGAACTGGAGGAAGAGCATGTCGGTGTTGAGGATGAGGAGGACGATGAGTTGGACAATGAGGATTTTCAGAGCATCAATCCCATCAGTTTGACCCACGATGACAATGACGATGATTCGGATGTGGTGATGCTGCCGACGCCGCTCAAGGAGCGGCATTGCATGACCACAGCAACGTAGGCGTCCCGCCACTCCTCTTCACTCAACTTCACACCTCTCCACTCCACTCCGCTTCGTTGATTAATTTTTGATAAGATTTTTGTTGTTGCATCCGGCATATTGGCGCACGTTTTCGGGTATTAATTATATTATGTAATATTATAAAATAGTATTTAAATGTTTAAGCGAATCGTAAAGCGATCATTTTGATTTCCTAAATATATATTCAAAATCTCAATAAAGAACCGACGTACCCACGTCTAAGCTTGGAACTATCGGCATTCGTTCTTGCTGGACTTCGGCTTCGACTTTTGCGTATCCATGCCACAACCACAGCCAGCGCTGGTTGATCTCCCAACTCGAGAACGCCTCTTCGAATGACTCGTTTGATGCTGAATTGAGGAACTGACTCCACAAGCTCCAGCCAGTTTATGTTGCTTCACCACAACTATAGAGCTCTCTTCTGCCTTGCGACAGGCGCCACCACCACAAGCCAGGTGGAGAGCTTGCTTTAGGACGACTTTAGAGCTGCACTTCGATTGCTTGAAACCATTGGCTGTTGGATTCTCCTGCTTCACTGCGACTTTAGGGAGTTTTTTTGCCTTCTGCACAACTCCACAACCACAACCCATGTTGGTATCTTGCCGCCGCAGAACTTGAGAAGAGTTTGATGGATTCGATTGCTTGTAGAAACTGGCCACAGGATCGTTCTGCTGCTTCGCCATAAGTGCACAGCTGTTCTCTGTCTTCTTCTCGACTCCGCAACCACATTCCAAGTCGACATCTTGCTTCAGTATGCCTCGAGAGCCGTTGGAAAGGTGCGACTGCTTGGAGGAACTGGCCACAGGATCGTTCTGCTGCTTCGCCACAACTGCACAGCTGTTCTCTGTCTTCTTCTCGACTCCGCAACCACATTCCAAGCCGACATCTTGCTTCAGTATGCCTCGAGAGCCGTTGGAAAGGTGCGACTGCTTGGAGGAACTGGCCACAGGATCGTTCTGCTGCTTCGCCACAACTGCACAGCTGTTCTCTGTCTTCTTCTCGTCTTCTCTACTGCTTCGCCGGCCGCCGTGATCTACCCGCTTGCCCCGCGCGCCGCTGTTCCGGTCTGACTGCTTGTAGAAACTGGCCACAGGATCGTTCTGCTGCTTCGCCACAACTGCACAGCTGTTCTCTGTCTTATTCTCGACTCCGCAACCACATTCCAAGTCGACATCTTGCTTCAGTATGCCTCGAGAGCCGTTGGAAAGGTGCGACTGCTTGGAGGAACTGGCCACAGGATCGTTCTGCTGCTTCGCCACAACTGCACAGCTGTTCTCTGTCTTCTTCTCGACTCCGCAACCACATTCCAAGCCGACATCTTGCTTCAGTATGCCTCGAGAGCCGTTGGAAAGGTGCGACTGCTTGGAGGAACTGGCCACAGGATCGTTCTGCTGCTTCGCCACAACTGCACAGCTGTTCTCTGTCTTCTTCTCGACTCCGCAACCANCACGCTTTCTCGCGTTTTCTCTGTCTTCTTCTCGACTCCGCAACCACATTCCAAGCCGACATCTTGCTTCAGTATGCCTCGAGAGCCGTTGGAGCGGTGCGCCTGCTTGGCGCACCTCGCCACAGCATCGTTCTGCCGCTCCGCCACAACTGCACAGCTGTTCTCTGTCTTCTTCTCGACTCCGCAACCACATTCCAAGCCGACATCTTGCTTCAGTATGCCTCGAGAGCCGTTGGAAAGGTGCGACTGCTTGGAGGAACTGGCCACAGGATCGTTCTGCTGCTTCGCCACAACTGCACAGCTGTTCTCTGTCTTCTTCTCGACTCCGCAACCACATTCCAAGTCGTTCTGCTTCGGCAAGTCCGCACAGCTGCTGTCTGCCTTCTTCTCGATTGCACAGCCACAATCCAATTCGGCATCTTGCTTCATTATGCCTCGAGAGCCGTTGGAAAGGTGCGACTGCTGGGATGAACTGGCTATGGTATCGTTATTCTGCTGCACCAGGACTACAGGGCAGCTATCTACCTTTTTCAAGACTTCACTGCCACAAACCAAGTAGTTATTATGCTGCACAACGTCTTCACAACAGCTCGAATAATTCGATTGCTTGGAAGAACTTGCCATTGATTCGTTCTTCTGATTTACCTCGACTCCAGGGCAGCGCTCAAGCTTTTGCACGACTCCACAGCCACAAGGCAAGTCGCCAGCTAGCTTCAACATGATTCGAGAGCCGTTCGAATGGTTCGATTGCTTAGAAGAACTTGCGATAGGATTGTTCTCCTGATTTTCTGCGACTACAGTGCAGTTCTTAAGCTTCTGTTTGTCTTCACAGCCACAATCCAAGAAGCTATCATGCTGCACCTCGTCTCCCGCGCAGTTTAAATAATTCGATTGCTTGGAAGAACTTGGCATGGGATCATTATCTTGCTTCCGCACAACTACAGGACAGCTCTCCACCTTCTGCACGACTCCACAACCACAATCCAAGTCGTTATCCTGCTCCACCACGGCACCCGGGCAGTTCTCCAGCTTCTGCATTGAGCGACCACAATCCAAGCTACTCTTTTGCTTCAGCAAGACTTTCGGACAAATCGAATGAGTGGATTGTTTGGAAGAACTGGCCATGGGATCCTTATGCTGCCAGCAGCAGGCAGCCTCCGGTTTGTTGGAGCCAGAGCCGAGCAGATAGCTGGGTGATTTCTGCTCGGCTGCACAGGTACATTCCGGGTCCGTTTCGTTCGCACCTTTTCGAATTGTGAGAGAGCCATCCACTGCGAAATAAATGTCGTCAAAGATTCGAGCCACCTCAACGAACTGCTGGAAGCGCTCCATGTCACAGTAGCGCAAGTTGTTGGCCATTTGGTACTTCTTGAGGGCCTCTAGCAGCTGCTTGTCGGGCAGGATCTCCTCTTCCTTCAAGATGATCATCAAAGCCTTTAGCTCGCGAACGTTCAGGCGAAGAAATGCTTTTTCGTTCAACACTTTGGTGATAATGGGAAGAATTTTCTGCCGGAATGGATTCACAATTAACGTTTGCGAGAAAGGATGTAGCTAGGGGGGCTTACATTTGCCACCAGTTCCATTATGATGGGACTGTTGTTTTTATTGGCCAAATGGAATATCTGCAGCACCACTTCCATGGGCCACTTCTGCGCGGACAGCTTGGTGAGGTAGCAGTCAATGAAGTCGTACATCCTGTGCTTCATGGCCAGCCGCATCAGTTCGCCGCAAATCTCCAGGTTGATGGCGTTGCACACCTCGTAAGTGTATATGTACCGAATGAGCGCCTCGTAGGCCTCCGGCGAGGCATCGTCCAAGTCGATTACTCGATTGTTACGCTCAAAGCACGGCGACCTGCACAACCGCCCAAACTCCGCCGAGGCGGACACAAGCAGGATCTCGTGGCATCTAAACACTCGATGGCAACGACTGCTTCCGTCCCAGTACCAAACGCACACCTCGCAGTCGGACAGCTGACCCGAGCGCAGCATATCCAAACGACGCAATTTACAGTTCATTTTTGAAACTTGAATTTTGAACTGTCAAAGAAATGTGTAAAACAGAAATTTAGTCCGAAAATGTTTGTGTTTCTCCTGTAATTTTGATGAACGGAGCGGGAATGGATGAAGGCAAGGCAGAATGCAGCAGGCCAGGCTTCTCCTGGTCCAACCTCGACTGGCAAAAGATTTTCTTATTATTGTTCTTTCAGTCTTGTCAGGTCTGGCAGCTTGGCAGTCTGACAGGCAGTTTTCACCAACTTCTCGGGCACTTAAATCTAAATTATTTCCGATGTCGCGACATCAGCAAAACAGCAGCCACGACCATGTGGACAGCAGTGGGGCGGGGCCAACGTGCAACGTTTTAGATCAGCCATCAATGGAGGTGTCGTCAGATGACAAGAGTGTGAACTCGAGTCGCATCCGTAGACTCGAGTACTTGCGCCGTGCCATCGACTGCGACTGCCAGATCCATCTGCAGCACATGTCCGTAGCGCCTGATGGACAGTCGGGTAGCGTGAGCTACAGGACGTTCGACTGTCATCGCATATTCCTGGCCACAGCCTCCGAGAAGATGGAGACGGATGTGTTCAAGAATGCACACTTCAACGGTGTGCTGGAGATGGACGGCGTGTCGCCGGAGAGCGTTCAGATTTTTCTCGAGTACATTTACACCTTCGAAGTGGACTCGCCGCTTGTCGCTCTCAAGATCATTTGGGACATATTCATTCTATCGAATGCCTTCAACATCCCCGAGCTGATGTCCGCCTTCTTCGAGAAAGTCAAAGAGCAGGATTGGCCCCTGGAGGATGTAATCCCTGCCTTCGATTTGGCGTTTCGGCAATGCGGCATGCCAGAGCTGGAGCATCGATGCCTGGATGTAAGTGGAACATCAGACTATATCCAGAGATTCTATCCACTCCATTCCCTCCCAGCTAATCATCCCCAATGCCAGGAAGCTGATCAACGATGGGAGCCTCATGAAAATCCAGCTTTACTCCCTCAACTACATCATTCAACTGTGGATGGCTACGGACGCAGTGCCCAGGGAGCGACTGGTGCAGCTGCTCCAGGAGTACCAGAGGGCGAATGGTCTCAATTTCAACAATTTTGTGACATTTTCGCATTTCACAAAGATCATACAGCACTTTCCAGACGTCCTGCTGGATGCTGAGGGGTCCATAATTCAGTAAATAATAATAATGATAAATAACGAAATAATGAATGATTTGCAGTATTATTGGTGCTGCCAACTCGTTCCAGTTACGGTATTTTTATGGGCAGGTGGTTTTTTTTTGCGTCATTTGGCATCGTGTGCCCGGCATCAGTGCTTCCAGCATTACAGAGTCAACAAAAGCTACTTTCAAAAAACACTATTTTGAGCATGAAAACTGTTACGCAGTTTCATTTTTATATTATTTCTGTGACTCAACATCCGCATTAGACAACGAGAGCGAGTTAGCATTTAAATGGGTTTTACATGTACTTGTGTAAGTATTTTGAAAATTGTACAATCAACTCGATGTTAAAACTGCTAGAAATAGCTTGAAATACTCCAAAAAAACAGCACAATTATGGTACGCCGCATTGTATTGGGATACACTGGTGCGCCATTTTTCTTGTTTGACATATGAAGCCGAGTTACAGTGGCCAGAAAAAGTTATAAATTGCATATTGCAAAAAGTGTAGATAATTAATTAAAAGGGCCGAGCAAACCGTTTAGCAGACCCAAGTGATGTGCGTTCTTGTTGCAGCAATGAACGGCAGCTAATTGTTGTATAAAACGTGATTTAGATTGTCGTGTGCCCAACGTCGGGTCCAGGGGCAGAAGATTCCGAATAAATATAACAAAAGAGGCGCCATTCCTGAGAACCCCAAAAAGGCCCATCCAGTGGATCAGATAAAAAGTAATGAAAACGCATGAACCACATGTTTTATGGGCATTATGTTCCCCGTTTACATGGGTATGAAACAGTTTTTTGTGGCGCATGTTTTGTTTTTTCGTGCACTGTACACCAGTGTGTAGTCAGTGCGTTTTGCGTTTGTGTGTGTGTGTGTACACATTTTAGGCGGTAATGGTATGAGGCCCTGGCCAACCAGCCGATACCGCGATAACTATCGCCATCGATAACCGCAAGTAAACGTTTGTTTTGTTTTTCCTTTTCATTGAATTGCAGTTCATGTCGATATAAAGAAGCGCACACAGCATTTGTCCATTGAATAAAGTAGAAAATGGAGGAAATATCCAGTTTAGACTCTTTCGGGCCAGACTCCAATGCCCAGCCAGAGACAGAAACGCCCCGACCAGAGGAGCAGAGCCCCCGCGGAGAAGCCGCCGGGGAGGAAGAGCAAGCGCCCATTGTTGCAGAACAAGACACTCCCGCCTCGCCGCCTGCAGAAGACGCTGCTGGAAGTGTCGGGCACGTCGCGGTGGAAGTGCCCAATTCCAACGAAGACTCTGAAGAGGCAGCCGCCGCCGTCGACACCGCTGTTGGGTCAGTCGAAGTCGATAAAGATGCCGCGGAGCCAGAGGAAGACTTTGAGCAAATATCGGAGGGCTCCCTGGACGCGTACGATAATCAGTCGCAAGAGAAAGTAGACAAACACGCCATTCCCGTTCCACCACAGCAAGACACAGCAGCAGAGGGAGAAGCAGCAGAGCCAGAGGCAGACGCGGAAGCGGATGCGACAACACCATTATCATCCGAGCCAGCAGCCGACGATGCTGATCCCCCCGAGGCCGATGCACAGCCAGAAGCTGAAGCTGGCGATGAAGAAGAGCAGGATGATCGCGAGGATGCTAGCATGGCGGAGGCAACCGATGAAGCCGATGCCCTAAAGCTCACGGATGCTGCGAGCGAACAGGAGGCCGATGCAGTAGACGGTGCTCCGGCTTCCAATGAAGCCATGGACGTGGATGAGGGCGAAGCGGCCAACACTGAACATTCGCCTCACGAGACAGAAGCCGCAGACGATGTGGAAATGCGCTCTCCGGGCGAGGACGACTCCCACCACGGTGACGATGCTGAGCCGCCCGAAGGTCGGGACGAGGTAGACAATAGCTTGGAGGAGCAGGAGAACGCTGCAGATGCCGACGATGCAGATGGCGAAGGGCCTGCGGAGGATGAGGACAATGCAGACGCCGACGGAGACGCTGAAGCGGAGCCCGAAGAAACAGCGGAAGACGCAGGCGAAGCTGAGCATGGCGATGGTAGCCCGCAAAACGAATTTTATCCAATGAAATATTTGTCACAAAAGGTGCTTGAAAATATTTTAGATACCGTCGAGAATGTGCTGGAACCCGAGGAGTCTGATGTTTGCCTTATTCCCGATGACAACGAGACAGAGGTGACCGAAGCGGAGAAGGAATGGGCACGGGAGAACGCTGAGAAGGTTGCAGAGGAGGAGATAGCCGCCGAGCAGGCCACCTCCAAGACGCCAGAGATCGATGGGGCAACAGCCAATGACGATGTTGCCGACCCAGAGGATGGCGACGTAACCGTCGCTGCAGAGCCTACAGAAGATGCGACAGACGCCCCTGCGAATGGTATGTAATCCGCTTAAGCTTTGCTTTCTATCTGTCCTCCTGCACCTTGTCTTTCCATTGTCCAGATGCTCAGGCTGATGCAACAGCTGGGACTCAGCCGACGGCATCAGAGGATGCTGAAGGTGAGTTGAGGATGGGAATTGAATGGCACCTTCCATGACGATTACTAATGCTTATCCACTCTCTTCGTTCCCTTAGATGATGTCCAGCACTTACTGTCCAATGACGAGGAGGCTGCTGGCGATGCACCCGACGCAGATGAGCCGACGGCCGAGGAGGCGGCCAGTGACACAGCGGGCGAGGCTGGAGCCCCACCCAAGATCATCATCAGCTGGGTGGTGGGCAGCGTGCAGACATGTCGGCAGTGTGGGATCGAAAAGAGCTGCGGCTTCCGTTACAAGCGTCCAGAGGAGCTCAAGGATGACGAGCAGGATGCACCGGAAGAGGCGGTAGCGACTGTCAATGAGTATCTCTGCGACCAGGCCTGCTGCACGGCGCTGCTGGGTGAGCAGCCGGGCAAATACTTTGTTAGACGCAAGAAATTCCTAGTCGAGGAGGTTGCCGGGTCCGCTGCGGACAGCAGCGAGGAGGCCCCAGCCGATGTGGAAGCAGATGAGAGTGAAACAACGGCAGAGGGAGAGGCATCGAGGACGGAGCAACAACAACGAGACTGCCTGCAGTGCAAGGAGCAGACGAAATGCAAATACCTCATCAGGCAGGACCAGGACACGTACTACATCTGCAACGACGACTGCTTTAATCTCCTCAATGCCGAGGAGCCCGACAAGTACAAGCTGAAGCGGCACTCGATCCGAGTGCGCAACATTGGAGCCACCACCATACAGGCCTCTGCCAAGAGGCCAGAGACCAGCGTGGTGGCCCGCACGAACGTCGAGGCTGAGGCCACTCGACTGGATCGCATCGAGAGCTTCCGGAGGCGCTGTGCCGACTGCACGTCCGAGATAGACTTGAACGAGCGCCAGCTGATGTGGGAGACGATGGACTTCTGCAACGAGGTGTGCCTGCGCAGCTACCAGCTAAGCATTGGCTCCAAATGCGAGACGTGCAAGCAGGATGTGAGCTCCATAGCCCTGGGCAAGTACTGTGTGCGGTTTGGGTTCGAGGTGCGACAGTTCTGCTGCGCCGCTTGCCTCAACACCTTCAAGAAGGGCCTGAAGACGTGCTCCTGCTGCCAGAAGGACATCAGCAGCGGGCAGGAAGGTTTCCTGGCGCCGGTGGGCGATAAGGATCAGTTCAAGGACTTCTGCTCGCAGGTCTGCCTGCGCCGCTACGACTGCATGTGCAATCCCAAGAAGAAGCTGCGCACGGACTTGTGCGGCGTGTGCAACAACGAGAAGCCGGTGCGCGTCGAGATGCTGCTGGACGACAAGGAGCACTACTTCTGCTCGAACCCGTGCTTCTCGGCCTTCAAGTTCGTGAGCAACGTGAATGCCGATGCCTGCGCCATGTGCTGCAAGTACTTTGAGCGCAAGAGCGCAGAGGCCTACACCATCTACAGCGACCAGCAGGCGCCGAAAGTGTTCT